TGTAGTTATTGTCACAGATTACATCTTTATGCATGTATGCCCATAGACATAGATTTATGTTATTGTTTTATTTGACACTGATTTATAATTATTGCTTTATAGTTGTCCTTTAAATTATGTAGAAAAAATTTAATTACTACCCCCAAATAAACCAATGTTGATGTTTGTATTTACATATTATCTTTATTAGTGTTTATTTCTTCATATAGATTTGAGTTACTGTCTAGTATTTCTTTCTTTTCAGCCTGAAGAACTCCCTGCAGCATTTCTTCTGAGCAAATCTAGTAGCAGTGAATCCAGTTTTTGTTTAATTGGAATATCTTCGTGTCTCTTTCATTTTTGAGGGATAATTTTGCTAGATATATAATTCATGGATAAAAGTTTTTCTTAGCACTTTAAATATGTCATTCCCCTATCTTCTGGACTCCATGGTTTCTGATGAGAAATTAGCTGTTAATAATATTGAGAATCCCCCTTATGTCATGAGTTACTTCTCTTGCTGCTTTCAAGATTCTCTCTCTTGGTCTTTGACTTTCAACAATTTGATTATTATGTTTTGAGGTATGGCTGTCTTTGAATTGATCCTACTTGGGATTGTTGAGATTCTTGGATGCATATATTTATGTCTTTCATCAAATTTTGGCTGTCTTCGGGCATTTTTTTCTTCAAATATTTTTTTTTCTACCCCTTTCTTCTCCCTCTGGGACTTTCATTTTATGTAGGGTGGAACTCTTTATGGTGTTGCACAGGTCTCTTAGGCACTGTTCATCTTTTTTCATTCTTCTTTTCCTCATATTGGGTAATCTCAATTTGACCTATCTTCAAGTTCATAGATTCTTTCTTCTGCTCAGCTCTGCTTTTGAGCCCCTCTAGTGAATTTTTATTTTGCTATTGTATTTTTCAAGTCCAGAATTTCTTTTTGGTTCCTTTTTAAAATTTCTGTCTCTTTATTGATATTCTCAATGTGGTGAGACATTACTCTCATACTTTAGTTCTTTGTATATGCTCTTGAGCATACTTTAAATAGTTAAAGTCTTTGTCCAGTAGGTTCAATGTCTGAGCTTCCTCAAGGACAATTTCTATTAATTTCTTTTTTTTCTTCATACTTTCTTGTTTTTTTGCATGCTTCATAATTTTTAATGAATACTAGACATTTTGGGTGTATCATGTAATCAGATTCTCCCACCCCACTAGGGTTTTGTTTGTTTGTTTGTTGTTTGGTTGTTTTTTTGTGTGTGTGGTTTTGTGTGTGTGTGTGTTCTGTTTTTGTTTTTTTTGTTTGTTTTTGGCTTTTGCTGCTTGTGGTTTTTATTTGTCTAATGACTTTTTTGAACTAATTTTGTAATGTGTATATTCTTTGTTGTGTGTAGCCACTGACATCTCTGTTTGATTTGCTTAGCGGTCAGCTAATGATTCAACAGATTTCCTTAAAGGCTTGGAACCACTGGGGGGAAAAACTCAGTCTTTGCCAGTGGGTTCTGTGTATATATTGGGGCATGATTTCAACACTCAGCTAGGTTTACAACTCTCTCTTAGCCTTCACTTTCTTCTGTGTCCAGGCTAAAGATCAGTCAGAAGTGAGAATTTAGGGCCTTTGCACATCTTTTTGAGGATGTACTCCACCTTGGGCATGCACATGGTCTTCTGGTTTCCAAGGAATATATGGGAGCTTTTCAAAGCCCATATTCCCCAAAGCATCTCACTAGTCTTTCCTCCCAAGCTTTTTGATGTTTCTATTGTATGACCCAACGGCTATCCCTTGCCCCATTTTGGCACTGGCTAGTAAATTTGCCTTTAAATGTTTTTAACAAATGTCCTAGATAATTAATTACCTCTCTGACTTGGGAGAGTACTGAGTTTGGTAAAATAAAGGTAAGCCCTTTACACAATCCATCAGGGAACCAACAGACCAAAACGAACAACCACAGTTGAGAATCAAGTCTGTTTTGCTTCCTTCTGCACTAGGAACCCACACCAAGAACTCAGATTGGTGTCTTCAAGACTCTAACTGAGAAACAGCTACCTTTTCCCTGATTAAGTAATTGCCTGGTTTGAGTAGTTTGCATAGTTCAGATTGGGTTGATTCTGACTGTTTTTGCCAGATTATTTGCTTGTTTCTGTGAAGGGACAGGCCCTTGGAGTTCCCTACTCTATTTTTGCTGATGTCCATTGCATTTAATTTTGACAAACATATTACTTTCATAGTTGGGGTTTTTTGGGGGGGCTGGCTTTTGTTGTTTGTTGGTTGGTTGGTTTAGAATGACCATATATATCTTCTTTACAGAGGTCATCCAATTAAGATAATTCATGTCCAAGTTGCCAAGGAACTATATCACATGTAGAAGGAAAAGAATTCTGGCAATTGAACCCTGCAGATCTGATGTCAAAAGTGTTAAAGATAGCCAATTCACTGATAGCCCTATCAAAAAATTTTCTTTGCATGCGAGAGAGATAAAAGGCTAATCTAGTGAGTATGGGAGGTAAATGTTTTAACATTCAGGTCTCTCGTAGAAAGATGATGTGAAATGTTAGACAAGTTAACACATATCAGCATCTTTAAAATTGCAGTTGAGCATTCACATTGTAGTTATGTGGATGTTTTCCATATGGTTTATCAGATCAGTATGATTGTAACAATTGTTCTCACTGCCTTCCCACTGCCTCTTGTGAAGTGACTCAATCCAAATCTACTAACTGAATCTAAAGAGCGAACATAGGGATCTCTGATTCTGATAAAACACTTTTGGGGTTTGAATTCTATTTTCATCTATTTACCAACAGCATGAACTTGAGCAAGTTACTTAACCTCTCTCTGCCTCACTTATCTTATCAGAAAATGGGCCTAATAACAACTATAGTTACCTCATAGCTTTGTTATAAGGATGAAATAAGATTCTTTGAATAATTTACTAAAATTAACTACATAAGCTACTTCGAGATGAAGCTTATCTAGAGCATGTCTTTTAGATAGGGGAATCCTCAAGTTTTTCAGTTCTGTCTACTTAGGGTGGAGCTAATTGGTGAAATAACCATCCTGGGCAGATTCTCAAGAGGAAAAAGTCAGGCAATATCTGTGTGTAGGCCAAGACGCTTATTCTCTAGTCAGGAGAGAATTGTCTGTATCTACAGCTGGGTGCAAAACAAAAACATGAGGTTGGGGAACAGCATCCTAATGTGTAATGATCTGGGGAACCAGGAGGATGGGGCAAGATAGTGGGAGATAAAGCTAAAAAGATTGGAAAAGACAGATGATGAAGGCACTTGGGAGTTACTGAAGGGTTTGAAATAGGAGAGCCATCTGGCTACATTTATATTTAGGGCACATATTGTGGCAGAAAAACGGAGAATTAGAATCAGCATGGCAAGACTGGAAGGAGGGAAATGCCTGAGGTGACTATAAGTTATTTTTATTTTTAAGTAAGTCATAGGTGTTCCGTAATGAGCATGCATTAATTTTGTAACACAAGAAAACACGTAAGCTTTATTTTGTAAGAAATCTACTTTGGGAATTTTTCTATGATATAGTCATAATTTAATAAAATCCAAAATTAAAGTCCCAATTAGAGAACAGTTATTCATTTGACACTTGACCTCTTCGCTCAACAAAATCTCCATCTCAAATTTTCAGTAAATAATCATCCTTTTCTACTTCATGTTACCTATTAAGTATAGGGAATACATCAATTCTATTTAGCAAATTAGAATGAAAATGTTAACTGTATTATCTGCAAAATTTACTCTGCTAACTTTATATCTTCTCAGTCCTCTGTAAGTCACAAAAATATTCACACCTAAGTTGACATTTTTAACTAGAGTGACACCCTGGAGGAGTATGCCCCAGAAAATTGATAATGAAAATAACAGTTCATAAAGAAAAGCTTGACAGAGAAATTATAGTCTCATTTTGCTTCTCTCTAGCTCTATTTCTTTAACAACTATTTAATCCCAGGGACACAGATTTTTGTTCTGTTTTGTTTTGGTTTGATTTTTTAGTCATTTGAACTTTTTCAATAAAGTAGTTTTAGGAGTTAGCTGAACAAATTTTCAGCTATAAAACAAAATACAATTTAATAAACAATTTTATTATCATTTTGTACCACTATGACCATGCTAGTTATTGGAATAACTTTTAAACTCAGTGGAGATGAAGTTTTAAACCCAATTTTACATCGTTTTCTTTGTTATCATTGTGTATTTTATGCTGGCCATGTAAAACCATGTTTTCTGAGTTTATCTGTACACACAGGATTATATAGAATGTAATTTTAACATCCGCTTAATCCAACATACTCTTACTGAACTATTATGACTTTTTAAATATGTTTAAACTATATTAATAATTGTGGGCAAATTTATTTCTACAAACTAGACTGTGGAAACTGGACACCACTGAAAACACCCTTGGAAGTACTAAAAAAATGTTAAGTACAATATATACCACTACTTCTAATTACAGTTATTTTGGATAAATGCAAATGTAACAGCCTTCAAATAGGCATACTTTTGACATAGGAAATTGAGATTCCATAGGTTGTGGCTCAATGGTAAATTCAGTATAAATAACAATGAAGAAACCACATATGGTAAGCCTGGGATTCAGAAATTGGCTTTAAGATTCTCAAATAAATAAAGACCTTCTTTGAAGGCACATGGATGTATTAATTTTTAATTTGTTTCTTTTTGATCTCTTAATTACTGAAAAAGATTTATTGGTTAATTTTAGGAAGGTAAGTGTTTGAAAAGTTTTGCCAAATACTGTCTTCTTTAAATGACTGTATGGTAATGAAAAGTTAAGAGGAGAGCCAAATTAGATTGAATAATTGTTCAGTCATGTGGGTCAGGCTAGTTGCATAGCCTGGTTGTTAGACTGATTGCTCAAATTACATTGCCTGGGGTCCTGCACTTGGTTGGCTGTCTTCTCAGATCTTAACAAGGTTCTGGGAATTTCTTTTTCTGACAACGTTTGCTTTGTGTTTTTCCCCTCCCCCTACCACCTCCAGGATGCTTCATCTGCAGACGTTAGAAAAGCATATCGTAAGCTTTCACTAACTTTGCATCCAGACAAGAATAAAGATGAAAATGCAGAAACTCAGTTTAGACAAGTAAGTGACGTGTGCTGTTATTATATATATTTTGCAACAAATTTATAAATTAATGTTTTCTAATAAAAATAGTAACTTCTATGTAGAATATTTTTGTTTGAAAATGAGGTTGTAGTTGAGAAATAGAATGTCATGTTCACTCAATTTTTACAGAATATCACCATTTTTTATATTAGAATCTCTAAATTCTTGGAGGGTCATAATTGTCATAATTTTCTTGTCTGAATTACAGCTTTTGCTTTTTAAAAGCACATTTTAACATAATTATTACTTTTGCATCTCTCACAAAGATTTATTTTGGTATCAAGCATTTTTTAATCTTTTAAGGTTCTACTAAAAATATAAAATGTTACATATAATTAAGATTGTATCTGTTCATTGTATATATGAGCACATAGGGTTTTCTCTTTGTGCATTATAGTGTGTTCACCTTCCTAAGTGATTTCTTATAGCTGAGAGTATTTTTATTTTAAAGTAATGCTTTTATTTTAGTTGGTGGCCATTTATGAAGTTTTAAAGGATGATGAACGAAGGCAAAGGTGAGTGTTCATTTCCGCTTTTGAATTAAGATGTTACGGTTTGGTATCTCAATTGATAAAGGAAGGAATTGTCTCACTAGACATTTATTATAAGTTAGTATTTTATTTTTGTTTCTTCCTATGTTTAGAGCAGAGTTAATGTCTTTTGAAAATATTCACTAGGTTGATTCAGTATTTATACGCTTTAGGATCATGAGTCATAATGTTACCAAGTCATAGCTCCATTAGATATGATTTAACATGAGTGTCTATGCTCCGGGAAATACACATACCATTTGACTTCAAACAAATGCCCAATCATTTTTGACATATCAGTAATAGCTCCTATCTGTGCTTGGTGGTCTTTTTCTTTTTTCCCCTATTCCTTAAATGTTTTGGAATTAGGCTGTTAGTGATACTCACATCATCACAATTTCTTGATGTTTCCTCACTCTCAGAATAAACCCTGATATTTGTGAGAGAACAGACTTGTATAAGTCTGTAGAAAATAGGTGTGGAAGAAAAATATTTGTTTCTTTTTCCTATTTCTTTTGCCTCCTTCCTTTCCCTTACTCTGCTCTGGTGATTCTGCATTTAAGTTAAACTTTGGAGTGGAGGCAGCCCCCTCACTTCGAGACTTCTCTGTGCCCCTTTCAGAAGAGTAGTAATATATTTATACGTAGTTTATAGTGCCAGTGACTTAAGAGGAGATTGCAGAAAGGCCCCTTTCTTCTACTCCTTTAGAATGTGTGGAATGTGTAGACACTATTGCGTTGGGCTTCAAAGTTTCTTGAGTCAGACCCACAGTAAGAAGTATATTTAGGGGGAAAAAAGCATATTTCGCATCATGCCTCAGAACACACGTACACATACACACACTTGAAGCAAAAATTTCCCAAAACACTTTATAGTGTGTGATACAGACTGATATTTTCTATTCTAGACTAGTACAGACTAGTTTTTCTTTAAAAAAAAAAAAAATTCTTCAGATATATTATCTGGAATTATTCTATATCCTAAAATGTTAGCTACTACTCTTCTTCTCATCTTAACTCTTTAATTTGAATACCTCAGTTAGTCAGATTGCAAAGCAAGGACTCGAGATATTCTCTGTAAGTGTTCTTTGCTTTATAACAAGGGCTGGCATTGGTCCAGATACCATAGCAGACATTCCTCTGGTTTGAGATAATCCATAGTGTTGAAAGAGTCCTAGAAGTGTGTTGAAAGAACTGTTGGTCATTCTGTGCATATTTTCTAGTTGGTTTCTCTCACTGAGCCCCTAGTTTTATTTCACACATCAAGAATGTGTCTGTAAAGATAGCTTTATTTAGTCTCCCTGTGTCTTTGGCATCAGATTTTGTCTTTTTGTTTGTTGTTATCTTAAAAGTCAGTGAACTTTGTAACAATTTCTTTCAGTTCCTGAAAAATCATTTGTATCTTTACAGAAAAAATCACTTCTTCTGTATAAAATGTTTCTTCATTAACATAAATGTGTCTAACATTTTCTTTTTAGGATTCATTCCCTTTGCAATTTTTTTACAGTGTTAGTAGAAAAAAAATGGATCTGACAGTTACGCAAACAGCTGTAGTATTTATACCCCTTGAGGCACAAGTAACTCTTTGGTAACTGGTTTTCCTTGAGGCAAAAATCTTAACTAATCAAGCTGAGAATCACTTCTCTAAAGCTTGCGCCTGAGGCCAGGTGACCTATGTGTATTTAAACATATAGGAGAAATGCACCTCTCCAGACAATTGCCTAATGTTTCTAATTCCTTTGGGAAGAAAAACCCAGTAGTCATTTTTATCTTCTAAAGGAAGATTGTCTTATACTAGTATTAAAAAATGCTCTTTGGTATCACAATTATTTATTATAAATATTCATTAAATAAGTACTTTTAAATGTGTAACCTCCCAGGAATTTGCAATTTGGAAAATTGTCCTGTATGTTTCTCTATTTCCCTTATGAGTAATTGTGTTTTCACTGAAATCAAGTGCATTCTTTAATTTTGGCAGGAAAGAGAATAGCAATGAAGTAGATAAACTGGATAACCTTTTTTTTTTTCTTTTTAAGGAAAAGGCAAACAATTTTTAAACTGCCTTATTTAGGTATAATTTGCATACCGTAGAAGTCAGCTATTTTAAGTGTACAAGTCAATGATTTTTAATAAATTTACAGAGTCGTGCAAACACCACAGTCCAGTTTTAAAACATTTCCGTCACCTCCAAACATTCCCTCAAGCCGGTTGGCAGGCAATCCCCACTCTGATCCCAGACCCAAGCAGTCACTGATCTCCTTTCTGTGTTTATAAATTTATCTTTTCTGGGCCTCTCCTATTAATGAAATCATGTAAAGTGTACTCTTTTGCATCTGGCTTCTTTCTATGATAATCTTTTTGGGGCACATCCATATTGTAGCATATACCAGTAGTTAACTCTTTTTTATTGCTGAGTAATATTCCATATCATATACTGCTTTTGTTTATCTGTTCACCAAGTAATAGACATTTAAGTTGTTTCCACTTTTGGGCTATGATGAGCAACGCTGCTATGAATATTCACATACAAGTCTTTGTGTGAACAGATTTTTTTTCTTTGTTTCTCTTGAATAGATTCCTAGGAGTAAGATTGTGAATGAACTTCTAAGCCTTTTTTTTTCTCCCCAAAACATAGACTATAGTATGAAAATAACAAGTTTGTCTGGTTAGTGTATGGAAGGCATAGCAGCCTTTTCTAAACTCCCAGGTAATTTGCTTATTTTGGGGAATAACAGCTCAGTTTTATTTTGACATAAATTTCTGTACAAATGCCCTAAGTGTTAGCTGAAAAAAGTACCAAGTAGATACTAGTCATTACATATATACACTAGATTGTGCTTTAGTAATATTAGTATATTACTTTTATTTAAAATCTATTATAAATTTTTAACCAGTATTATTTTGCTAACCCAGTTGTGCAACTTTAAATTTGGGGGGGGGGGTTGTATATTTTATGGTACTATATTTGTAAAAGTTTAATTTTTTTTTTAGTTTACTAAATAAAATCATGTTTTATTTACAAATCCATTACCTCATTATTCTAAATTTGATTATAGGTGTGTTTGAAGAAAAATAAACATTAACCTGGGAATAAGAACTCTTAGTACCTTCTCTAATTAGAAGATATAAGATACCTGTTATATGGAATATATAAAGTGCTCTATACCACAAGTTTTGGCATATATATACATTTTTAAAGGAGAGTAAGATCAATTAATTTAGATGTTTCCTGTTTATGATCTTTGTGTAATTAATTTTTATTCTTGGGTTCAAAATGTGACCTAAATGGATATTGTTGTTATTGTTTTAAACTAAAAATTCAAACTTTGTATGATGGGAAATTCACAATTTAGGCAAATTCTAGAATTATTTAAATATTTATTTTCATAATAGATATGTTTTCTATTTTAGTTTCATAGTTTTATATTTCAAAATATGAGAATATTTTGTATTTACATAAAATTTTTTCTGTTGGTAATTTAAATATTCTTAGATTTATTTGCTTTCCAGTGTTTATATTAGGCTAAATATATTTGATAAATTGAGATTGTAGAATGAAACTCACTAATGATTATGTAACTGTTATTTTATGTTTATCATGTACATTTTAAGAAAATCAAACCTATATTAAATCATATGTTGAATGTGGTATTGATTAATCAGTGTTTTAATTTCCAAGATAATAGCCTTTATAATGCCGTATCATTTTTTGCATTAGTGATATTTTCATCACACATACTTACTTTTGTATTTTTTTATAACATAATGATACGTGTGTATATTCTTAATCTAGTTTTAACAGATTATTCAGAGCAGTTTGTATGAGCTGAATTACAGAACATTTTAACAGTGTTACGTGTTAAAATATAGAAAAAGCAAAACAGTGATGTTTTAAATTTTATGTGTTCTCAACACATTTTTTCTTAAATAACTATGACTATAGTCTGTATATTTTAAGAAATATCTTTATTTTTCAGTGTTTCAGGAAAGCAGTGATTTATCTCTTAACAGCATATATTCTAAAAAAGTGAACTATAATAGAAGCTATCTTCCCTTAAAATGGGCAGTCGTGTGAGCCATGATGTTCATTGATAGTAAAATCAATAGAGCATTGATTCTAAGCTTACTCCTTGGAGACTGTTGTTTAGAGTGGCAGACATAGCTTAGTAAATATCTGGTTCTGTTTAATGTGTTCAGTGCATGAGGTTTTGCTGTCTTGAATTTGGCTGTACACTATATACAACTTGTATGTGGGGTAGAAACGAGTAGCTATTAATAGATACATGGCATTTCAACAATAATGATGATAAAATATGTGGGATGAGATTCATAGCTATGAGTTTAGTTATGTTTTCTTCCAATACATTTTTTATCTAAAACAAATTTAATACTTATTAATGCTCTTAGGGAATTGCACCATTTCCTGAGATGTCCTTTATTAATAACCACTTTTCATAAGTTATTTCATGGGACAGATTAGCTGGAAATAGTGATTTTTATATTCACCTCTTTCTCCCTGAACAAATCTGGAGTAGAATATAGATTTAGAATAAATTCAGGATTTAACACTCATTGGCCTTCATTCAAATGTTGTAATCCTGCAACCTTTTTGCCAATCCATTTCTAATTTAAACTGAGTCAGTTCATACAAAGATAAATTTAAACAAACTTTTGAGGACAGGATGATAGTTTTTGATGAAATCATATTATTTTATCTTGATATTATAGTGTTCAAGAATTGCTATGCATATTTAAAAAGGAGAATATTTAACATCAAATTTTGTCTGGTCTAGCTACTACACAGCCATATTTTAATCTGTATACTCTTGTACACTACACATTGCCTTTTAAGAGTTTAGTACTAATTAATGTCTTTTGCTTTGAACACAGGTTATTCTGATCTGCCATTATTATTAATAATCTAAGTTGATCTAAATGTTAGGTTTTCCAGATTTGCTAATAAAATATATTTTGAATTTGTAACCAATATTTTTCTACTGAAAAAAGAAGTTGCCTATAATAAATCCTTTGCTTATTTTTTTAAGCATATCTCCAAGGTATCAATTTAATAACTATCAAAGTAGCTACTGCAGTTGTTGCATTTAAATTGATTTACATGTCAAGACTGGCACTTTAGCAGCTGCGCTATTATTCCTAGATCGGTCAATTTACTTGAGAAAAACCTACTACTGAGTTCTACTGACCTGCCTGACAATATAGGCCCTATTTCTATTCCTGTAATTAGGCCTGCGACTAACTCAGAATATTTTTAATTAAAATATTTTGGTCAATGTGTTGCACCAAATTAGGCCTTTCAGTGAAGATTTAATTCGAGAAATAGTGTGATTAGAATATTTAATGAGTTGTGTTCAATTAAGATTAACAGGTTGTGTGTTTTGAACATACAGTGTTTGTGTGTGACCATTTTGAGTTTTACAATCATAAATGTTACTCCTGATTTTTAACCTTAAAAATATTTGTCTTTGTAATGGTCTGACAGGTAAATTTCAGTTCAGCTGAAATTTTATTCTAAAGAAAGCTGATTTAAAATGCATTACTAGGAAAGCTTGTATTATGTTCTTTCCCTCCAGCAAAGCCAAAAATGAGGAAATTGCCACTTAAATGTTTACAAATAAACAGTTTTATTGAGAAATCTGACATAAACACTGGTTGTTTCCCATCTCTTTCTAATTTGGAAACTTTTTATCCTTTAAAGGAATTTGAGCAATACAAAATTAAAAGGTACTCATAGGCTTCTAATCATGAAGAAGCTTTGATAAAATAATATATATAAATATTTCAACCTTGAACTATAGTACAGGGTTGGAAATAATAGCACTGACTAGAAAAATTTATCCTGAATTCGGTTCAATTAATATATAATTCATGGTAACAAACAGAGCTCTTATCTTGATTTTTCTTCCATTGAGATCTTTCCTTTTGTTGCTGACTTCTGTGGTGGGGTCTTTACTGCAGACTATGATAGAGAGGTAGATTATATAGCTCCTTTAGTTTAGTTGTCATTCCAGAAGTCACATCATTGGGGTGCTGTTAAACACAGGGTCTAGTATCCACAGTATATCACTGTGTATCTTTTGGAAGGTTGTCTGTGACTGTACTATATACAGTGTTTTGAATTTATAGACCATTGTAGTGCTAATAATCTACATAAATCTTAAATATTTTGGAGAAGTTCTTTTCTCTTTCCTCTTTTTAAATATAGGCATAAATTAATTTTTTTGCTTTTATTTTAAACTTCCCATGAAAAACTGTTGTATTTGCTACTGTAGGTATGATGATATTCTGATCAATGGACTTCCAGATTGGCGACAGCCTGTATTCTACTACAGGCGGGTGAGAAAAATGAGCAATGCTGAGCTGGCATTACTTTTGTTCATTATTCTCACAGTGGGTCATTATGCTGTGGTTTGGTCAATATACCTGGAAAAACAACTGGTAAGTATTGGTAATAAATCAAATGGCCTAGCCTTAATTTTATATGGAATTTCAGACATTTTATTTCTCAACTGATAAAAATTTCAATTTTTCTATATATACTCCTTATCCTAAAAGTTTTCTACTCAGTATTTAGTGTTTGATGTGTTTCTAAGTCAAGAAGAATCTGTGACATAAGAAAAAAAATGCTTCTTTTTAAAAAATGTGGCATTTGAGTTTGTCATAAAATTTTGTGAAGGCCCAAATATCTAGCTGATAGTTAGAAGGTAGAGTCACATTTTCTTAATTGTCACCTTCCAAAAAGAAGTATTTTTTATGTAAAAATGATTTTAGAAATTTTTGTGTCATATACAGTATGTTTACTTTAAAAGGTTTTAACTAAATACAAGACTTGAAATGAGTATAATTGTTTAATTTCAGAGATCACTTGGTTAAAAAATTATACTTTTCTTATTTTAACATACCATTACATAGTTTATTTAGCTCTGGATTTTTATTTATGTGCTAAAGATAATCAAACATATTTATCAGTATTCATAAATTAGCATCTGTTTACTCATTCTTTTTGAAGTGACATTATTAAAGTTGGGTGAATGAGAAAAAGTAGGTTGAATGCTTTCTCTTCTTAGAAAACTTTGATTGCTATGGAGATACACATGACTGACAGTGCTGAACTTCATGTGTGTTTAAGGACTGGATGCCATGGCAACAGTTATTGTTAAAGATTGATGATTTTACTTAATCATGTTGGACCCTACATACATTTGCATAAATGTTCTTCTATAATGTTTACCCTTCACAGAAGACTCTTGATAACATTTGAAGAGTACATGTTAATGATAACCTGTAACCATAATTCTTTCCACATTAAGGATGAACTGCTTAGTAGAAAAAAAAGAGAAAAGAAAAAAAAGACAGGCAGCAAGAGTGTGGATGTATCAAAACTTGGTGCTTCAGAAAAAAATGAAAGGTGGGAGCATGTAAAAATATTTTGTAATTTGAAACTGTTTTAAAATGTCTTTAATATTATTCAACTTAATATATATATTCATTTCAGATATGTAATATTTATATCTGTAGTAGGTTTTTTAAAAGATTAGTACTGTGCCATAGTTTATGAGATAAATCCTAATCTTAGACAAAAGTTCCACAGGTTTTTTTTCCCTTGGGAAGTGTTAATATATATTTAAGTAATCAAACCCCCAAATTCTTGTCGTTTGAAATTTTTATACTGAACTTTAGAAATAAAGTATTCCTAGAAGAATCTATCACTTTGTGTTTAGCTCAGAAGTGACAATATGTAGAAAGGCAGTGAAATGCAGTACACTCAAAAAGATACCATTTCTAATATCGATTCATAAAAAGAAATAAAGGGTTTAAATAGTTCACACAGCAGGGCAGGAACTGGATCAATGTGAGATGGAGATCAGAGACTATTCTGTCTGTCTTCTGTTCTGATGACATCAGTGAGTAATGCTTCAGTGAACTGCAAATGACATTAATTTTTATGTATTGGTTTGTTTATGCTACAGTCTTCATATCTGCTTGTCAGCACTTGGGAACACTCTGATGATGTTTAGTCTTTTATAGCTGAAGTAATCATAAGGTTTAAGAATTCATTTTGCAGAACTGATGAAAAGTCCAGGTTAGAAAGAGGCCTTTTGTTTCTTTATCTTTGTAACTTGTTTAGGAGTCTCCTTCCCCAAAATCTTAGCCTAGATTCTCTTAGTTGTTATACATGTTGCATTTGTTGTAACTAACGTATTTCATGATAAAATACCTCAAATGTAGTGATAACTGTCATAAGGATTACATTGAAAAATTTCTTCGTACTTTTGTTGAAACAGGCATTCATAACAGAATTCATGATCTTTATAAAAATATTTGTCTCCCACCTTTCTTTCTATATTTTGCTTCTTTGTTTTTGTTTTTGTGTTTTCCCTTTAGATTACTGACAAAACCACAATGGCATGATTTGCTTCCATGCAAGCTCGGAATTTGGTTTTGCCTTACACTAAAAGCATTGCCTCATCTAATCCAGGTAAAGTATATCTCCTCTTTCATATAATATTAGATGCTTTCATTTTAATTATTCATGAAATAATTTATGCCCATGTCTGCTATCTGAGTGCTGATATACAGTGGATGCTTTATAATGCTGATTGAATTGATATAAGTGTAAACCTATTTAGAATAGTTCTAAAATTATTTAGGTATCTATTCCTATAACTGTCTCTGACATTGCTTTTAGAACACCTTAGAATTCCAAGACATTAGAAAAAGGAAAAAAATACTATCATTAGGACAGGTAGAAGAGCAATAAAAATTTAATTCACTGTAATCATTTAAGGCGTATCCAGAAAAGAAGAACAGGACTCAAAGAGCCTGTCACCCATTATTTTAATAGCATTTAAGAACACAGTATAAAAAAAAAAAAAAAAACCTTTACATGAACATTTGTGTAATTATGCAAAAATATATATTGCTTTCCATTTTATTTGCAACTTTAAGAGGAGTAAGGTATTTTATCTTGTATTGGTAATCAGTTTCTGTTGCTAGTCAGTCTTGATCAAACAATAGAATGTGGGTCTATATCATATTATGGCAACTTCTCTTATTTTTTTAATATTCAACATACCAAAGCAGATTTTATTAAATTATTGCTTTGCTAATATTAATTATCACATCTGGTTAGAAAATTCCCAGCACATAAACATAACATTTAAAAGTATATGTAATAGTTTGGGTGTACAAATTTTGAGGTTAAGTTGTAATTTTGGGGAGGAAGTGTTTCATTTCAGAAAATGTTTAGAAAAAAAAGAGACAGATGATTCCTACCCAGTTCTACCCACTTCTTTTCACATATCAGAGTTGTTCTTCCTAATCATTTAAGGAAATGAATCACTCCAACTTCTACATTTTATTCTCTTTCTTCCTCATATAATAAAAGTTTTTTGTTAGAAGGGAAAATGAAATAAAAATCACTAGTGTGTTTCTTTCTAGCCTTTGTGAAATTATTTACCAGTCTTCCATCAAAATAGTTCATCTTAGTAGTTATTGCTTACAGATTCATATATTTTGTTTCTTTCTAATAGAGAAAATTATAGTATTTTGGTAATTTAAAAGCTTTTGTTTATAAGTTGTTTAGCATATTATTTATTTGAATAAAAACCCACAATCCTTGTATGCTATGTATGTCTTAATAAGAGAGAGGTAAAGTATATTTACCATACCAGTATGTATATGAGAAAATGTGACCAAAAAATATTTTAGGACATGTATTTTCATGTTTTTTTAAGAGTGGTTTTTGGGTTTTGGGTTTTGGGTTTTTTTGCTTTAGAATCTGCAATAGGCAAACCAGAGTGTAGATGAATTTATAGTCATGAGGCAGAGTAAATAGAATATCACATAAAACGTCAGTTGAAACACTTCTTTGTAATTTTAAACTAAGACATTTGAAACAACATTTATTTGGTAAAATTAACATATTTCCTGGTTAGCATGCAGAGTGATTTGCAAAAATAGAACCAATATATTAAGATGGCTTAGATTTATAAGTTATTATTTTAAATTATCTCCCTGTGGTATCTAGAGCTAACATTGTGTTGCCTCATCATACATTTTTTTAAAAGTTACAGAAATTAGGAATTTTACAAAAAAAATTTTAGTCTCTTTAGAGACTCTGCTTTCTTAAACTGTTGGATCAGTTTGAATTTTAAAGTTTTTACTTACTTGGTGATACCTGTTGCTTTCAGTTTTGAGATGCTAGGCATTAGATTTTTAAAACCTTTGTAAATCTAACTCATAAATCTTGCTGTAATTTTTTTCTTTCTGATAAATTCATTCCAAGGAGAAAAATAAGACAATACTCTTTTTTTTTTTTTAAGCAAATACTTGCTATTTTAATTCTGCTTCAAGGAAGTAAGATTCGTTTTTTTTCATGTTCACTAACAAAATAATATAGTAGATTCTGATACAAACTGTGAAAGTGAAAGTATTGCAGATTGATAAACATAGAAAGCTTGAGCAAAGCAATACTGAGTAGTGTCTTTTAGGATTAGATTTTTGTCTCCTTTTTTTTTCTTCAGTCTACTGTAACCTTTGTATTAATTTATCACCCATAAAATTGTGTAATGTGAGTACATATGCCTTATCCACAGTACTAAAGTTTTGATGTGATACTTCTATGAGGTCTTAAATAAGATATTTATGAAATTGAGAAGAAGCCCTCCTTACCTAAAGCAGTCTGGGTTGGTAATTGGTACAGTGGTCAAAAAAGAGCTCTACTCGAGCTCTGAGTATAAAAATGATACATAGGACCTTAGACATTTTAAGCATGTACTTTACCTGTATTCACCACTCTTGTGATATAGGGCCATTGTTTTATTTTTCCTTGCATATACTGCATCTATAATCTTGGTTTCTTTAGGGACGAACTTCCAGTTGATTTCTTTAAAGAAGAGTTAAACTAGACTCTTACAAAGCAGTATAATTGTATAATCCTTACAGAGTTTAATGACTTCCCGTCTTTCATAACTGACGGACTTCTATCTAGTTAACAGCATTTTTAGCAACTCTTTTATTGAGCTTCCCAAAGCATCTACTTGGTTTTCGTAGAAACAGCTCTCTTTTGCTACTTACTTTTCACCTTTTTTTATATAATACTTAAATTGAATCATATAATTACAATAACAAGTATCACTGACACAGACAAGTTTAACAGCTAATATATCCAGCTCCTATTAAGCATTCAGAAGTTAGATAAGCAGGTATCAGTTAAGAGAATTTTACTTCTGTGTGTGAATCCTTTGACTTTTGTGAAATTCATTAAAACTGGTCTGCAAGGATTCTGTATAAGTATGGAGCTATCGGATAAGAAGCAGGGTCCAAACTGAAAGTGGGAGACTCAGAGACTTCCAGCAAATGGCCTTTACACTAGCCAGATCTGTATTTAAATTTTTCCTTGTCATATCAACAGCTCTTCATCTCCAACTTCTTTCCTCCTATTCTTCCTCTAAATACCCATTCCTTTATTGTACTTTATATACATAAATGGTTATCCAGTGGGAGTTGGAAAAGTGGCAGTTCTGGTTCAGCTTATGCTCCTAAGTTCACTGTTTATTACTGGGCATCTAAGATCCCTAAGAAAACTTATTACCTGGTTAATTTACCTAAATTATTTTCTATCCCCCTGACAAAAAATTACAAATGACAATATTTACATCAGTATTTGATGTGTAAAGCTTCTTCTAAGTTATTTATTTAGAGAAACAGGTTAGCCAGTTCAGTAAAAATTTATTAAACATATCAGAACAAGGCACTATTAACGGGTCATTGAGATGATATGCCTTCTGGGACCTTATAGTCAGGTAGAGATTATAATACATGAATTAAAATAATTATAATACAATATGGTATATAATCTTCACATATGTCATATAAACAAAAGACTTCTGTAGATGATCAGATGAGTAAGATTGTCTCTATTTAGAATGACCAAGGAAAACTACAGAGGAGCCACTTGAATTGAGTCTTGAAAGATGAATAGACCATTGACAATGAAGTGCCCACTTTGTGTAGTAGGTAGTATACAAAAATGATTTCATAGATACGGTAATTCCCATACAATCATTCTGCGTTAAGGCTGAAAGAACCCTAAGAAAAACATCATACAACTGCTTTTTATTAAAAAAAGGTATCACATAGCCCATTACTATCATCTAAGCCTATATCCCAGCTCTCCAACTCTGTCTATAACCATTCAGGAATTTATACTCTAATAGATAAATCTGATATGGGGAATCTATAAAGGACATTTAGACAGAATAAAGTTTATTGATTAGACAGCAAAGTATTTCCATCACACACATCTGTCAAAGACACATACATAATGTTAGGAGTGGAAAAGTAACAGTACATAATGGGCAGAAAAGACCCAAAGTTGTTCTGTGATCAGACTGGGTAGAGATAAAGGTATATCTTTGATAGCTTCCTTTGCTTTTCAAGAAGATCCTTATTACCTCCAGCTCTGGGTCTTTTTCCTTTCCTTTGTTCTGAAAAAGATAATGGGAAAATTACAAGAATTGATAGACTAGAAGAATGAGACCAAAAAACTAAAAACTATTATATTTGATACATATAAAATATTTGATAATGTTAAATAGATATCAGACATTTCCCAGATTGGAAAATATCCAAGCAAAGATGTATGTATTTAGCAAAATGTATACTTCATATCATTCATGTACCCACATATGCAGAAAAGTAAAAAGTCAGATGAGAAACCAAAGTAAAAAATGTGGAGAGTGTTTGTAAATTGATGAGTAGAAGGAAGGTTAGTGTGTGCATAGAGCGATGAGAGAACATTAGAGAAAAGTTAAATGCATGACTATATGCAAAGAAGTTGGGAAAACTTGAGAAAATGTGTTTAGTGCAGAAAGCAAGTGATCAACAGAAGACATGGAATATGAATTAGAATATAACAAGGAACTTGGCTGTATCAAGAGAGGCATTGTATACTTTGAGCCTAGAATTTAATTTTAACATTAAAAGTTTAGCCCTAGTGACACTTGTATCTTACCAGTGTGTTTCTGTTCTCATGGTAGTTTCAAAGGGAATACACATTCTCTTGGAATCTGACTAAACCAGTCTTCCGTGTTGGCTAATTTCAGCCTATAATCCCAAGAAATTTTTCTAGCCTCCAAAATGCCCTTCTTGGATATTTTTTGATTTATCATATATGTTCTGAAACATATTCACAACCATGAAAGTAGCAAACAATTATTGAAATATACCATGTGCATATTTTCAGTTTAACCCTTATAACTTAGTTTATTTTTGTCAGTGCCTGTCTGTGTTGGAGTCTCATATATTTGGGCCCATAATAATTTAGATTGGTAATACCACCAATTTCTCATATATAAAATCAGTAAGTGCCAAATATCCTAAGCGATGACCAGTCTAAATCATGGTCTGTTCATAGTTCTCTACACTTTCTAAGATGAAACAGGTCTTAGGTATTCAGAATTTATTTGCTTAATA